AGCAACCTCCAACTCCTGGGCTCAAGCGAGTCTCCTGCCTCCACCTCCCAAGTAGCTGGGATCACAGGTGCCCGCCACAACGCCCGGCTATTTTTTTTTTGGTTGCAGCCGTCATTGTTGTTTGGCGGGTCTGAGCTGGGGATTCGAACCCGCCACCTTAGGTGTACGTGGCTGGCGCCTTAGCTGGTTGAGCTTGTTGAAAGGAGCTGTGGCAGATGAAAGGTATTGCAGTCTTCCTTAGTGCTCTGCCCTGAAATGCATGGTGTGGCTATGCAGATATGCTGCATAGCCACGCCCACCACTAGGTCTTATCATAAGGGTAGGGCTTATATTTAACAAATGCATAGAAATCCTGCTAGGGCTTCTTTTTGGGTAGGTCTTATTTTCTGGGAAACACGGTACTTCCCTCTAGATTAATGACAACTCAGTCAAGCTATGGGTGCCGCCTGTGTTTACTTTTTAAGAACCTACTATAATGTTGTCTCTTCTGTCCTGAGCATAGTACTAGGTTGGTAATTGGAAAATCTTAGAAGAAGTCATGTTACTTCTGTCTAATGAAATAGGTCTTGCTGCCTCTAAACCAGACCTGATCACCTATCTGGAGCAATGGAAAAAGTCATGGAATGTGAAGAGACATGAGACAGTTGCCAAACACCCAGGTAGGTGGGAGTGAATCCATAGGTCTAGCAGAAAGACAGACCTTAATGTTGTTCAGCAAGGTCTGCTCCAATAGGAATGTTTTCTGAGATGTCTGGATTTCTTTTTCTTTTTTGTTTTTTTTTTGAGACAAAGACTTACTCTGTCACTGTGGACTCTGTCACTGTGGATAGAGTGCAGCGGCATCATAGCTCACAGCAACCTTAAACTCTTGGGTTCAAGTAATTCTCTTGCCTCAGCCTCTTGCGGAGCTGGGACTCTAGGTACCTGCTACAATGCTTAGCTGTTTTTTAGAGACAGGGTCTCACTCTTGCTGAGGCTAGTCTCTAACTCTTGAATTCAGGCAATCCACCCACTTTGGCCTCCCAGAGTGCTAGGATTATAAGCATGAGCCACAGTATTCACCCTTTATTTTTTGTTGCAGTTTTTGGCCGGAGCTGGGTTTGAACTTGCCACCTCCAGCATATGGGGCCAGTGCCCTGCTCCTTGAGCTGCAGGCACCACCCATGTTCACCCATTTTTTAAATCTTCAGCTGTGGTAGGATCTTGTTATTCTGGCTCTTCTCGAACTCCTGACTTCAAGCCACCTCCTGCTCTGGTCTGACAAAGTGCTAGGATTTCAGACATGGCACTATCAGTATTTTTATTGGGATTACAATACATACTGCATAAATTTGAAAATACATATGTTAATCAATTCTAAGTTGATAGCTTTTATTTTATTTTATTTTTTAATTTTTGAGGGAGAGCCTCAAGCTATCCCCGTGGGTAGAGTGCTATGGCATCATAGCTCACAGCAACCTCCAACTCCTGGGCTCAAGAAAGTCTCCTGCCTTAGCCTCCCAAGTAGCTAGGACCACAGGCGCCCACCACAACGCCGGCTATTTTTTGGTTGCAGCCGTCATTGTTGTTTTAGCAGGCCGGGCTGGATTCGAACCCACCACCTTAGGTGTATGTGGCTGGCGCCTTAGCCACTTGAGGCACAGGCACCGAGCCAATAGCTTTTATTGCATACTAAACCTCTGCCTCCCTATATGCCCCATTGTATTTTACTAATGTCTCAAAAATATGTCGTCCTGCACAGGTATCATGTCTCTATCAAGATTTATAGTTATGAGTATTTGTCTTTTAAAGTTTTATATTAGAACTAAAAGCATTCTTTGTACCATCATCATTATTATAATAACACATATTTTTTGTGTATAAAACTTTTCTTATCAGAGACTTTGATATTTTTACATGATTCTTGGTGCTGTCTACCATTATAATACGTTTCAGTGTGAGGAACTGATGCCCTTTAGCATTTCTTGTAGGGCTAATGGACATGAATTCAATAAATGTTTGTTGATTTGAGAAATTCTTTTTATTTTCTCTCTTTGTGTGTCTCTTTCGACAAATGCTCTGTGCAAATATTCTTTATTTCTAATTCACTGTAAAGGACAGGACATTCTTGCCAGAATAGTTATCTTGGTTGACAACTATTACTTTTTCAGCACATTGAATATATCATCCTATACCTTTGAAGCCTGCATGATTTTTTGCTGAAATATCAGTTGATCTTACAGAAGCATGTATGTACATGATTTTTTGCACATCACTCCTTCATTATCCTGATCTGGAACAAAAATTAGTACAGTTATGCTTCAAATGAGTACTGAGCCCACATGGCAAGCCCATGATTCAGAAAGTGAAAGACACATCGGAACATGATTAAGAGGCATTTTACTGGGCCAGGAAGGATTGTAAAATATACAAGACGCACTCCTATTCCATAGAAATCAAGGAGCTTCTCCCGTACTGGTGTGAGGAATGACTTACTTCTGATGACCGTATGTGTGACTATTTCAACTGCCCTAGAAACAATAGTGTAGTGTTTATTTTGTATTTCTTAGTCTTCTGGAGCCGGCTCCTCTGGTGTCAGGGAATAAACAACTGTTTTTGTACATCACCTTGTAGGTTACATCTTCCACTGGAATGGCTGATGGATGAGCCCCCATAGTGCTGCTCATTGAGGCAGGCAAGTCCTCATTACAGGCAGCCACATCTACCAGTGGCATCCAGCACTGTCCTCAGTAGGGTGCGTCACAGCTCACGGCAACCTCAAACTATGGGGCTTAAGCTGTTCTCTTGATTCAGCCTCCCAAGTTGCCAGGACTACAGGCGCCTGCCACAACACCCAGCTTTTTTTTGTTGTTGTCATTGTTGTATAGCAGGCCTGTGCCAGGTTTGTCATCGTTGTTTAGCAGGCCTGTGCCCTGGTGTATATGTACCTTGGCCACTGAGCTATGGGTGCTGAGCCAAACAGAATGATGAGGTTGTGCACTTCTTTAGTGTCACCTGTGTGTTTACTTTTGACTTTAGATTGGGCAGTGTTTCTTTGATATATTGTAGTTTTTATACAGATATTGGTAATTCAAAAAGTGGTACCTAGGCTTGGCACTCATAGCAAAATGGTTATGGTGCCAGCCACATACAGTGAGGCTGCTGGGTTTAAAACCAGCCCAGGCCAGCTAAACAACTCTGACAATTGCAACAAAAACTAGCTAGGGATTGTGGCAGGTGCCCTGTAGTCCCAGCTTCTTGGGAGGCTGAGGCAAGACAATCACTTAAGCCCAAATGTTTGAGGCTGCTGTGAGCTGTGATGTCAAGCACTCTACCAAGGGTGACCTAGAGAGACTGACTCAAAAAAAAAAAAAAAAAAAAAGTGGTACCTAGATTGGGTCTGGAGGTTCACTCCTGTAATCTAGCACTCTGGAAGGCTAAGGCCAAAGAGTTCCTTGAGCTGTGGAGTTTGAGACCAGCCTGAATAGGAGTGAAACCTCATTTCTACTAAAAATAGAAAAATAGAAAAATTAGACCCGTGTTATGGCAGGTGCCTATAATCACAGGTAGTTTGGGAGGCTGAGGCAGGAGTATCATTTGAACCCAAACGTTTGAGTTTACTATGAGGTGGGCCAGTGCCATGTCACTCTGGCCTGGGCTAACAGAGTAACACTCGGATTCAAAAAAAAAATTTAAGAAGGGACCTACCTGTTTCATTCTTTATGAAATCACATTGTATAGAAAAAATCTGGTGACTGAGTGCAGTGGCTCACACCTATAATCCTAGCACACTGGGAGGCTGAGGCAGGTAGATAGCTTGAGCTCATGAGTTTGAGAACTAGCCTGAAGAAAAGTGAGACCCCGTCTCTACTAAAAATAGAAAAACTGAGGCAAAAGGATTGCTTGAGCCCAATAATTAGAGGTTGCTGTGAGCTATGAGGCCATGGTACTCTAACCAGGGCAACAGCTTGAGACTCTGTCTCAAAAAAAAAAAAATAATAATAATAATTAAACATTTAAAGAAGAAAAAGAAAGAAAAAATCTGTTGCCATTCAGCCCTACTAGACATTCTGTGAGTTTCCCCAACCTGTTGGCAATCTGTGTGTGTCTGCATTTTTTAGTTAAAAAGGATTCCATTTTTTTTTTTGAAAGCATTTAATTTTTTCTTTTCCTTGGCAGATGTCTTTGTTAATCGTGTCTCTGTGTTGCTGTAACAAGCATTCATCTTTTTTCAGTGTACCCATTCTGCCCATTTCAACTATTTCTCTATTCCCTTTGCCACTCCATGTTAAGGGAAACAGTAAGCTATCTACATGTAGCTCCAGAAAAACACAGACTATTGAACATAGATCCCATGCTTTTATCTCCTGAGGTAGAAACAGGAAATTTAAAAATATTTTTCTCATTTTATTCTTCTGTGCTACAGAAAGGTAACAAACTTAATGTAACTATTAATTTGACTCTTTTTGGCTTAGTGCTTGTGGGAAGTATTGCAAACTGAATTGGTTTTCTTTTAGCATATACTTTTTTTTAAGTTCATATATCAATGCAGAAGCACAGGCCTCAAGTGTTGATTTAGTCATCATACTGATGTTCACAGGTTGGTATAATTGTGTATAAGTATTTAATTGTTAAGTATTTTCACCAAAATGTAGTAATTGAAATTTTAAAAAATTTTAATATCTTTCAGATATGCTTCCCTGTTATGCCCGAGGCCTGTGGACAAAGCAGTGCATAGAAGCTCCATTCCACAAAGTGGTAGTGGACATATTTGAGGGTTGTGGTCTTGAAAATTTACACTTAAGGAAAGACTGGAAAAGTGTAACTGAGTATGAAGGGCAGAATGCATGTTATGATGGGCATAAAAAATGTAGGAAAACAAATAGTTACAAACATATTACCGACATCAGAGGTCAAAAACATAAAACGTCTTGGAGAAAAACTTCATATATGTTAGTTACTTTTTCTGAACCACACGTTTCTCAAAGTAAATATCAGTGTCAACTTTTGGAGCATAACTTTTATTTGAATAGAAATTTGCAAAGCCTAAATAGTGACCTATTCTATGTTGCAAATTATGAGTTGGTGGATCAACTAAAATATAGAATTAGATTAAATGCTCAGTCAAATATTTCTCAAGATCTTAGATTTAATAATGTAAATATGTCTAAATTTGATCAATTTGATGGGTCCTTTGTTAAATATTTATTATCCTTCCACCACAATATATTACTTTCTTACCCCCAAATCTATAATATTGATCCATACGAAAATACCTTTACCACTTCATCATTGCTTACTAAATATCAGGGAATAAATAATTGGGGAAAACATCACTCTTATAATAACAGTTTGATATTCCTTAGCCAGGGTCCTAGTCTAAATAATTTTCAAGATGTTTATATTGAAGACCTAGCTAATCAATGCCATAATCTTGAGAGAACCTTTTATCAAGGCTCTAGTCCTAGGAAACATCAGAAACCTCATTTACCATTCAAGAAATTCAAATGTAAAAAATGTAAGAAAATCTTTCTTCAATATTCAAAACTTATTTTCCATCAGAGGATCCATATCCAGTGTAAGTATTACAAATGTATTAAGTATTTAGAACCTTTTACCCAGTCTTCAAAACATACTATGTATGAAGGAATCCATTCTGGAGAAAAGTCATACAGATGCAATAAATCTAAGAAAGTCTTTAATCAGTCATCAAATCTAAGAAAACATAACATAAACCATAGTGAGGAGAAACTCTACAGATGTAGAGAATGTGACAAAGACTTCCACTGTAGTTCACATCTTACTCAACATCAGAGCACTCATACTGGTGAGAACCCCTACAAAAGTAAAGAATGTGACAAAGCCCTTAACCGTAGTTCACATCTTACTCAACATGAGAGCATTTATACTGGAGAGAAGCCCTACAAATGTAAAAACTGTGGCAAAGCCTTTAACACTAATGCATACCTTACTCGTCATGCGGTAATTCATACTGGAGAGAAGCCTTACAAATGTAAAGAATGTGGCAAAGCCTTTAACACTAGTACATACCTTACTCGTCACGAGATAATTCATACTGGAGAGAAGCCTTACAAATGTAAAGAATGTGGCAAAGCATTTAATAGCAATTCATACCTTACTCAGCACCAGCGAATTCATACTGGAGGAAAACTATACACATGTGAAATGTGCAATAAGCCATTTATTCATCCTTCCAGTCTTATTCGGCATATGAGAATTCATACTGGAGAAAAACCTTACAAATGTAAAGAGTGTGGCAAAGCCTTTAACACTACGACATACCTTACTCACCACCAGAGAATACATACGGGAGAAAAGCCTTATAAATGTAAGCATTGTAGCAAAGCATTTCGAACTAGTTCACACCTTACAGAGCACCAGAGAATTCATACTGGAGAAAAACTATATAAATGTGAAATGTGCAGTAAGTCATTTACTCATACTTCAAGTCTTATTCGGCATATTAGAATTCATAGTGGGGAGAAACCCTACAAATGTCAAGAATGTGGCAAAGCATTTAACCGCAGTTCGCATCTTACTCGACATCAGAACATTCATACTGGAGAGAAGACCTTCAAGTGTAAAGAATGTGGCAAAGAATTTAACTGTAGTTCAAATCTTACAAAACATCAGAAAATTCATAGTGGAGTGAAACCGTACAAATGTGACGATTGTGGCAAAGCCTTTAGCACTAGCTCATACCTTACTCTGCACCAGAGAATTCATACTGGAGAGAAACCCTACACTTGTAAGGAATGTGGTAAAGCTTTTAGCCATAGCTCATACCTTACTCTGCACCAGAGAATTCATACTGGAGAGAAACCCTACACATGTAGAGAATGTGGCAAAGCATTTTACCATACTTCACATCTTACTCAACATCAGATAATTCATACTGGAGAGAAGCCCTACAAATGTAAAGAATGTGGCAAAGGATTTAAAACTAGCTCATACCTTACACAGCACCAGAGAATACATACTGGAGAAAAACTGTACAAATGTAACATATGCAGTAAGTCATTTACTCATCCTTCAAGTGTTATTCGGCATATAAGAATTCATACTGGAGAGAAACCCTACAAATGTAAAGAATGTGGCAAAGCATTTAACTATCGTTCACATCTTACTCAACATCAGATAATTCATACTGGAGAGAAGCCCTTCAAGTGTAAGGAATGTGGGAAAGCATTTAATTGTAGTTCAAATCTTATAAAACATGAGAGAATTCATATTGGAGTGATACCCAACAAATGTAATGAATGTGGCACAGGCTTCACCCATAATTCACATTTTACTCAACAAGAAATCATTCAAACTGAAGAGAAGCCCTACAAATGTAAAGGCTGTAGCTAAGCCTTTAACAGTAGTTCTTATCTTACTCAATACCGGAGAATTTGATCATAGATAAAAAGTTTACAAGTGTAAAACTTGTAGTAAACCATTTACTCCTTCAAGTCTTGTGATGTATCTTTTTGTACTTAAGAGAAACTGTACAAATGTAAAGAATATGCCACTTTTTACATGTCTCTACATTAGATAATTCATAGTAGAAAAGTCTCTAGATGTGAAGAATAAGGAAACATTTGTTTAATGTATATGATTTAGAAATTAC